TGAGAGAAGGAGGGGACTGATTATGATATACTACTAGTAACTATATCGTCCTTGTCAATCACCAATCAGCGAAGGAAAACACTCTTAAACATTGTTCCAAACGGCTTTCCAGCAACGAGAGTATCTGCGATTCGCGACCTTGGAGATAGTGCTGTGGTGGAATATGTCCAGGTAACAATTATACATACATATACATTGCATTTGTATTACCAAAAATTCTAATCAGAATTCTGCAGGACCCTGATACACTTCCTGGCGCCGCTCCCAATTTCCTCATCAAAATCAATAACGAAGACGAACTTACCTTCAACTTCACTTTCATTATTCGACAGTCGCAAGGATTTCTACCTGCAACGAACGGCGCAAAAGATGTCGTCGGATTGATAGACTCAGTTATAAATGGACTTACATACGTATCTGCCTCGACGGCGCGAGAAGTAGAGAATCTAGTCACTCGAGAATTTCATGCCGATCCGAATTTGCACAAGAATGCCAATGTACAATTGGTTGGGGATTATTCTACTGGAGGCAGTCAATCTGTGTCATTCGAATGGTCTTGGAAATGGAGACCTCCAAAGCCAACAGAGGATCGCGGGGGCGGATGGAGAAATAATTGCAGTGTATGTTCGACCGGATCGCATATCTTGCTCGTTCTGACATTTTTCTAGTTTCTCGAATATGATCAACGAGCGCATCGATTGAATACATTGGCTAGCTTCTCATTCTGGGTTTCTAGTAAGACTCTAAATGCTATGGCCCAACAATCTACTAACAAGGACCTAGATTCACAACCGTTGAGCATGCCAGGCTCGCCATCTCCCCCATTCCATCTTGTTCCACCCCCAAAATTGCGACTTCCCTCTTCTCAATCCCTCGATTCTCGTGTGAGCGGACAAGAACTACCCTACGAAGATGCACCACCGTCGCCAAACCCCCTTAACCTCGATCTGATTGTTCCTCAAAGTCAAATGGCGGATGTACCCAAGGTTGATGTTTCTTGTCAACGGCCGGGTGAAGATATGAGCGCCACCGAAGATGGGCCGCTATTCAGAGCTACTATGAAAGCATTAGAGCAGAAGACTGGAAATATGCGCGCACGAATGAAGAAGGTTCTCAGAAAGGCAGAGGCAGCGCAACTTGCCCAGATTCAATGCAACGATGCCATTGGAGGATTTATGGAAGCGCTTCGAGAAGCATCTAATTCGAACGCAAACGCAGTTCAACCCGCTTTGGACCATTACTTTGATAAGATTGCGCGGGAGATTCTACAGTATGAGAAGCAGAATGCTCTCAATCTCGAGAAAGTCATTATAGAGCCACTTGCAAAATTATATACTCTCGATATCAAACAAGCTGAATCAAAGAAACGAGACTTCGAGGAAGAAAGTAAAGATTATTATGCATATGTCTCGAGATACCTGGGACAACGTCAAGATTCGCTCAAACAGAAAAAGCGAGTTGAAAGCGATACCAAATACCAAACGAAGCGTCGAAATTTTGAGCTAAAGCGTTTCGATTATTCTTCATTCATGCAGGATCTTCATGGGGGACGAAAAGAACAAGAAGTTTTGTCACATTTGACCAAGTATGCAGATGCTCAGACAAGGAGTTATCTCGCAGCAGCCAAGAAGGTGGAACAAATGCTTCCACAACTAGAAGCATTGAGTGCAGAGGTACAGGATGCAGACAAAGAATTTCAATATCAGAGGACTGAACGTGAAGAAAAACGGCGCAATCTCGAGAAGAGCACTATCACATATGTGGAGCCTGAAACAGTTCCTGCGGTCCCAGTTGAACCAATCGTACCTGGAACCTCGAGTTCAGGGAATGGCACATATACATCAGATTCTGAGCTCAACAGGGCGGACAGCACTGGGCATCAACTGAGACCGGTGCCGACAAATAGTACAATTGCTACGGTCAACAATGGCGGCATGACGGAGTTTTCTAGATCTCCTGGTAGCCTCTCGTCTACAGTCGGAGGACAAGTAGGAAGCCCGGGCGCAAATCCTCGGTTTCGTGGCATACGTGACCTCGAAGAAAAAGATCACAGTCAAATCACGGCGAGTGAGAAGTTGGGCACGCAGCGTAAAGAGGGTCTTCTCTGGGCTTTAAGCAGGCCTGGTAGCCATGTTGATCCAAGGGGCCTAAATAAGCAAGCTTGGCACAAGTAAGTCTGACGCGCCATAGATGCAGTAACCCAACTGACTTTCATAGATTTTGGATTGTACTTGATGCCGGTAAACTCTCTGAGTATAGTAATTGGAAGCAGCGTCTAGACCTACACATGGAGCCCATAGATTTACGTATGGCATCTGTTCGTGAGGCTCGCGATGCCGAGCGCCGTTTTTGTTTTGAGGTCATAACACCTCATTACAAGAGAGTATATCAAGCAACATCGGAAGACGATATGAAGAATTGGATTTCCGCTATCAACAATGCGCTTCAGAGTGCAGTTGAGGGTAGAGGTATGAAAGATTACCCAGCCGTGGCGCCTCAGCCTGAGGCTCATTCGATCCGAAGAGATATTGGGTCGATATTAACAGGAAAGAGTTCTTCGATGAACCACGGACATTCTTCAAACCATACTAATATCTCTAGCACAAATAATGTGTTTAGAAGAACGACTGTTGGTGCAAGACCTGCGTATGGCCGGTCGAGTAGCAGTAGCTTTGATGAAAGCCCAGATAAACTATTGCAGCTTCTACGAGAAACGGATCAAGGGAACTGTTGGTGTGCAGATTGTGGATCTGGAATCAAAACAGAGTGGGTGTCGATCAACTTAGCCATCATTCTTTGTATCGAATGCAGTGGTATTCACCGCTCCCTTGGGACACACATCAGCAAAGTACGCTCCTTAACTCTCGATATCAATTCATTTACTACAGACATTGTTGAATTACTTTTATTGGTTGGCAATCGTGTCTCCAATATGGTCTGGGAAGCTAGACTTGATCTAGCTACAAAACCGACACCACAAGCTACACGCGAGCAAAGATTGAAATTTATCACAGCCAAGTATGTTGACCGAGCCTTCGTGGAACCAATTTCATCCACCCTCTCACGATATGCCACGGCGGATGAGACCCTTCTTGCCGCAGTCAAGAAGAACGATGTTCAACAGGTGATATATGCCTTAGCGCTCAAGGCAAATCCTAATGTTACAGATAAGTCTCGTGGAACTCATTCAGTATTTCTGGCTCTCGCTGCTGCTGATCCAGCATCTCCAGCACAAGTCACGTCCTCCACTCGAGTTGAGCCTCCTGCAAAGATTGTGCCATTCCCAATTGCCGAAATGCTCATCCAGCATGGGGCTGAGATCCCAACCTCTTTACCCGCATTTCCGTTAAGTCGAAGCGCAACGCTGTACATTGAACAGAAGACGCAGCGCGCAGGGGGTACCATTGATACTTTAGGCGCCTTGCCAACCACAATGACCCCACAGGACAAGCTCAAGGAGCGGGAGGCGAGATTGCAGAAACGTGTTAGTGCTGGCGGACGATTAGCTAAAACGCCCATCCAGGAACGTTCATGAAAATTTTTGAAGGTATGACATGTCATGGTATGTTAATGAATGATAGATGATTTGGAGATACCATGGGATTAGCATTGTTGGCGTTTTTCGTGTTCTTGGTCTGAAATATTTTATTTTGTATTAGCTTAGGCTGCTGGCTTGCTTATATTATAGCTGGAAAGGTGACTAGCCGATGGCTGGCAGGTTGGCACAATGACGAATGACACAGGGGTTTACTTCATTGTACATGTATAGTGAGCGATGTGTGGTACCGATATTCACCATCGCTTGAGGAATTGAAATGGAAGCAAGCAAGCCACTTGACACCTAGATTTGGATAGGTTAGGTTAGGAAAAGGGGAGGAATAATATTAATGGAGTATGAGTTATGTGGAGTGAATAGGCTTAGTTGGGCTTGTCTCAATGGATGGATGCATACATGGATGGACGCACATGCGATGTGAGATGGTGGAACGATGCTCTGTGCCATACACATACACACATACATACATACATACATACATACATACATACATACATACATACATACATACATACATACATACATACGTTACATTCTATGCCTACTAAGAACTCTATTGATTATATGCATACCTCTTTATGATTCTGTGGATTGGTTAATATCGAGCGTGCGAGATAGATGAGCGAGGGGGTTTCTCATACCTAGGTACCTCCCTCCTTACCTAGATACCTACCTACCTATCTATGTGTATGTGTGAAGTAGAAAACAACATTAGCTAGATAGGAAAATAGAAAATGAGAAATGGAAATGGAAATGGAAATGGAAATGGAAATGGAAATAAGAATTTCGAGAATCGCATATGATGTGAGAGAAGTGATTGATTGAAGAGTAAGGGTTTTTCGTTTATATTCATATATACCTACATACTACATACTACATCCATACTACATACATATATATATGTAAAACTTTTGTCTCGGGAAGTATCTTTGCTCCTGTATATGTCTATATATATACCAGAATAGGTAGGTAGGTAAATAGGTCTGTGAAGTGAAGTCAAGTGATATAAAGTGAAATATTATATCTTGGTTCTCGGTTTTTAGTTCTTGGTTTGGGTTTTTGGGGGTGGGATATTATTTATTATTTCTTAGAGGAGAGGAGAGGAGATAAAAGGAGAGGAATAGTGAATGAAGAATTTATTGTTTGGTATTTATCTATCTAGGTATCTAGGTATCTAGGTATCCAGGTATCAATCTATCGATGGTGGTATATTGGTATTGGTCTTGATATCGGGAGTTAGTGGTGGTAATGTTATTCTTTCGTATATACCTACCTAGGTATTCATCACATTTGAATGCACAAGTGATAGATAGGTAAAGATTATTTCTATCTACGCATAAATGGAAAAGCCCGCATAGTTATATCATACTTCATCGCGCAACATAACGTACGCACCAACCAATCGGTCATTCAATCCATTCAATCCATTGCAGATCAACATAATATAACATAACATAACATAACATAACATAACATAACATAGATACTTGAAACTACTACTAAAAAATCTCCGTATTGACTATACGATACTATACTAACAATGCGATACTATGCTATACGATCCTTTACGCAAAGCAATGCAACAAAAAGCAGAGCAGAGCAAATCAAGAGAGCAAAAAACATCTTCCATGGGCAACTCCAATCTCTTCCGTTCCTCCCACCCTATTATCCCACCCTGGCCTAATGAAGGGGATGATTATGGAAACAGAACAGACAAATAGGCCCTAGTAGAGGGTATCAAAAAAGGGACTTCGCGTAAAAACAAACAAACAAACAAAAGAAAAGCGTTATTAAGTTATGATGTGATCGTGAGGGAGAATATCACTCGTCGACTCGCACCCAGTGTGGTGGTATCCATTAACTTCTTTCTCTTCGCCCCCTTAACCCTCACATGAGTCCCTGTCGCAAGAGGGCCCAGTCGTGGTTGACTATGTGAGTATTGTAGATAGGTTTTGTCTTCGATCATAGCCGTCAGCGAAACTGTACATTCACAGTCCCCGCCATCACGCTGTCTCAGGAGGATTTCCATTTTCGTCTCTCTGGGCCTTTGACTTCCCTGGTACATAGTCCTTCTTCAGGTCCTTCACTGCCTGGCTGGGATCTTCAAGACCAGCAACCAGTCTCTCCCTCTTACTCTTACGTCCTGAGCCCACCAAATCGTTCAAATCTTCCTCGTCACTACTACTGATCTCATCATCTGAATTCTGCACCATATTAATTTCATTTCCTTCCTTCTTCTTACGTTCTCGTTGTCCTTCTTTCATCTTCGTAAGATGATCGTCGGTGCATTCTTTCGTGACGATGTGAAGACCGGGAAGATTCTCATTGAGAAATTTCTTGAGGAGGGGAAGTAGGGAGCCCTTTGGTCGGTAAGTGCCGCTGTCATTGTCGATCACAAGTTCGTAATGGCTGGGGTCTTTGGGAGGTGCATCGTGGGGTGGTCCTCCTGGAAGCTCTTCAATTGGGTGAGTAGATTGGCTGGGATCATCAGCTGATCGACGTGGGTGTTTTAGTCGACGAATGAAGAATTCTCCAGAACACGCTATATAAATATTTACATCGCTGTGCATGGTATGTTTTGACAAAAGGTCAACACCGAACTCCTTGCCTGTTTCGGTAAATCGAAGAAGTCCATCGAGTGAGAGTACATAGGTGAATATCCTTGCGCCTTCATCAAAGTGTACCATTTTGAGAAATTGCAATGCGGCTTCATGTGACCGGGCTTTGAATACTCCATATTCTGTACTGTTACTAAAATTATATACCCGGGCGTGTTGGTGATGGAGAGCTTTATTCAAGACTCGTCCTCGTAGACCTGCTTTTGAGAACATTCCTTTTACGAAAGGCTTAAATTCGACAAAGCGATGGTATAATTCCGCAGGCACTGGACCTTGAAGTTGTATCTGATTTGCTTGGAAACTAACTCGTTAACATTGACCTCATCTAAGGTCCGAAGGAGAATTGCTTACTCGTATTTCTCAGTCTGTGGCTTGTCTCCCGATGCGCTTCCAGGTGCTTTAGTACCAGCCAATCTTCCAATCATAGGCGAATAATGCTTGAAGAAATATGTTTCCGCGACAGTGTACATTCTGCCATAGGGCTGCTCGGATGGTCCCAAGCATTCCGCGCTGACATATAGTGTACCATCCATGTGAACATTGCTATCGAACACAGCAGCGCAAGCTCGTACTCCATATGCTCTCTTGCTACCCATTCTCTTTTTGATATCAAATCCTCTCTCTTTGAAACCTTGCCAACTTGGGCCCAATGACTCCACATGTATTGTAACATTTCCCAATCGATCGTCATGATCTGCCGGGTCTTCGTCATACAAACGGCATTTCAGACGGAAGCCACTTCCAGGAATACCAGCGACCGTCCAAGTCTTATTCCATTCTGGATTTGTATTTTTGTGTATTGTTTGAGTTCGCAAAACGAGATCTGGATCTTCCTTGTGTCGTTTTAATAGCGAGGATGTCAGAGTTGCTGTAAGGAAAGGGTCGGAGGAGCGAGAGTTGAGATCCGAGGCGGGAAGATTCTCAGCTCTGTGAAAGGTAAATCTTACAGTATACCCATCTCGCGCATGGGGAATTGGCGTCGCATCGAAACCGCCAGGAGGATTGGCCTTATCTTTCAACTTCTGCTGTTTTGAGGTAACCTTTTCCTTTGCCGATTGCAATTGGCCTTGGTGTTGTTTCTCAGCGTCGCCATTTTGCTGTGTACCATTTTGCGCCGGAGTCACTTGGGCAGCTGGATTCTCTTGCGCTGGATTTACTTGCGATAGACTCTCTTGCGCTGGGTAATTTGCACCATTTGACGTGTCGCCGAGTGCTTGACGATCGACTTTTTCCGACATCTCTCTTGATACTCTCCAAGAGAGTTTCAGATATTCTGCAGAGAGAGGGTAGGATGTATTATTGCGCAAAGAAGAGTATTATGATTGTAGTGGTGGAATGAGCTGACAGCCAAGCTTTGTATGACAAGAAAATGCGATACGGAAGGAGGGGAGTCAAAAGGACGGGAGATAATTCTAATACCCTCAAGGTGACCAATTGAAGACAGAGAAAAAAGAAAGGATTATCACGATGAGGCGCCAAAACGGGATAGAACTAAGCCTTTTAATTGGATTAATTTCGTCGAGACAAGGTGAATGCGTATAATGGGCGCGAGTCAACAATGGAAAGTTTGACGCACGGGTAGCAGCGGTATTTGTGAAGGAGTCTGATGGACGGAGGGAGGGAGGGATATTGCTAATGTTATTTGAGATATTTAAGTTCGAGGAAGAAGGTCAAGAAGTGACAATAAGTGACCATAAGTGACAATAAGAACTTCTCGTACGGTCTCGTAGGGTATCGTGCCGGATGGACTGATTCAAGCTTTTGCCAAGATGAATAGCATGAGGAAGTTTACTTGGCAAGGTGGAAAAGTTGACGGGATGATGGAGTAGTTATTATAGTTGTGCTTGTTCTTATGTTCTTATACCGGTACTTGATCTTGAAATGGTACTTGATTATGGTGTCTTGAATTTGTTTGTCCTTGAACTTGGCTTGGATGCATATGGAATGAAAGGAAATCAAAAGACTCATTCACATCCACATCCACATCCTCATCCTCATCCTCATCCTCATCTCATCATCTTATTATTCCGTCAAGTGACATGCCGAAGTCTACCTAGTTACCTAATTGTGCTAATCGGTATGATTCCCTCCCTCCCTCCCTGGTATCTACCTACTATCTACCAACTCCACCACCAACAATTAATAACAACGTCTCCCGAGGTCTGCTTGGACCCATCCATCTATACGCTCTAGGGATCTTCTCTCTTTTTTTCAACGGTGAGATCTAATTTTAAGCTTACTTCCCTCGCGCACGTCTGATGTACAGGTAATCAAAAAAAAAAAACCAAGTTTCCAAGAATTTCATTAAGTAATGAGGAAGATGTTACTTTATATACGATCCTTAGTCTACATCTCCCGCTTCATTGGCGAAGATGTGAGCCGTGGATTCCGTACAGCCGTCTTGGTGTTTGACTTGAACCCTGGATGAGAAATTTATGAATCTATCATCGAGACACGCTAGCCTCGAATTGGATTCTCATTGATAAGATACCTACTCGCTGTCTCAGACTCTAAGGTCCTTGATCATGGCGTGCAGATTTTCATGCAGTAGGATTGGAAAATGTAAAGAATGGCAAACATGGGGTTATCGACTACGTCATAACGTGCTTGGGGGAAGAAAAAGAAAGGAAGAAAAAATTGGATGGATGGAGTGAAAAAGTTGTCGAAAACTGCCGAAGATCGATTCCAATTAAATGAAAGGGTTAATAATAAAAGTCTTTTGCAACAACAACAACAACAACGACGACGACGACGACGACGACGACGACGACGACGACGAGAAGGGGCTTCGTTGATTTGTGATTGTCGATTGGCTTGATGAAGAGAGGCGGGGACAGAGGAGGGAGGAGGGAGGAGGGAGGAGGGAGGAGGGGCGGGGAATCATGCAACAGGAATACCGGTAGCTAAAATGTCACAATATCCTCCTCCTTTATGGCGGAATCTCACGTGAAGATTCCGCTATCTATGTAATCTTACGTACCCCGCCTACCTACCTAGGTAATTAATTGTGCATCTATCATGAACTGCCCAGGTGTGTATACTTCTAAGGTTCCTCTACCTTTCTGTTTCTCTACCTTTCTATTCTTCTGCCTTTCTATTTGTTTTTTACTTTTCTCTTTCTCTACCTTTCTACCTTTCTACCTTTCTACCGTCCATTATTCTCCAAGCTTTCAATTTACCTCAACTTTCTGATCATTACAGACAATTATCTGAATCCATCTTATTGTCTGAAATATACACCTGCCTAGGCCTTCTCTGATATGATTATGACGGGATCCTAGGTAGACAGTCATTTCAACCACAATTCTTTAACATCTTTCGAAAATCATTAATCTTCAGAATAACCCAATGTTGCTAAGCAATAGTTTGGGTAGTTCTCATGTTCTTATTATATGGTCAATGCCGATCATGATACCGTGGGGAAACCCCAAGACTCTCAACTGCTCAGTACATCGAGACGACACTTTCATAGTGCGGCGTTGGTGGGGTTAACTACGTTGGTATCGTTGATATTGCTGTGACAATGGACGCTTATTCAAATACCATTGGAATAAGGATTGTACTAGACATATAGTTGTGTCATTGATCGAGACTGGGGGACTCAGATTGATCAGCCATCCAATCAATCGTTTCGCTGAGCCAGTAATTCTCATATTTGAATGAATTCGAAACCCCGCACATGGTAGTTCTTCTCGAACGACCTCTCCATTGGTACCAACTACCGTTACTAGAGTGATGCTCCGGTACTTTCTTATTTTTTGGCTCGGCACTGCATCATAAAAGATACACTACTTAGTAAGTGTTGGCATCTACTTGAAGACTAGATGCCACATGTCACTCACCTACATCCCACCGCCCCAAACACCTTTTCCTCAAATATAATATCAAACTGTACATATAAACATTCGCTATCTTCTCATGCAATTGTCAATATTTCTCCCTCGCTGAACATTAGGATTTCCCAACTCGGTTATCATGCAATTAAAATCCCTTTTCAAAAAGCTGTGTTCCCGCACCTCGGAGTCAATACATAAAACCCATTCGCGTCAAGCAAGTAAGGAAGATGAAATATACCATTCCGAATCCAATCCCAGCTATCTAAAACTCTTATTGGCTGCATCCGGCAGGCCACTGCGATCTATTAAAGCCAGCAGCATTCCTAGAGATAATTGGAGCTTCGCCGACCAAGAAGTGTGGATATTCAGAACCTTAGTCGAGGTGTGCCATCGACCGGACTATAATGCTTACGATATCGTCAAAACATACAGTGTGGAAAATGATCGGGAGGATTTATACTTGTTAGATGAAGAAGATTGGTCGAAAATCTTAGGGAGCTGGAGAGATGGTGCGACAGTCCATAGTATCTTGAGGAGCATGGAGAGGAGGAGCAAGCCCAGGTTTAGAAACACTGTGTCCAAAATCGAATCCGAATCCGAGCCCGAATCGAAGGTCCAACAAGCTGATCACCGTGATAATACTCGGTCTAAAACAACCAATATAAATTTTTGAGGTTCTCGAGGTCCAACCACGCGTCTATTGCCAGCATGCAGCTGTTTGGAAACAAACATGAGGTGTCGTCAGGGACGAATTTATATGCTCTAATAATCCAGATATGCGCATTCGAAATTTGAGAGAGCGAGGTTCAAGATTGTTTGAGTTTTACACCCGATTTGGAAGAATACGAAGGGTAGACTTGCATGGTGTCTTCATTATGGTTGATCCAAATGATATAGTTTCGTGCACTATTACATCGACGCTTCTCAGACGCGTATATGGAATCCTCTGGACTCTCCAAGCGGAGAGCATTCTACAGAATCCGACCTTTATATCCAAGGGAGGAGATCGTCTGCTCACCACATATATACAATGGAGGACGGACCCATCGTGTCCCAAAATATTATGGGTCTAGTCTATGTTGACGCAAGTCGAGGAGAAGAGATTCGCTGTCAGTTGGAAAGACTTCGAGGAGATAATCAGTACATTTCGTTCAAGAAATTTGGTCACAGGATTAGACATGACGCAGGATCAGGCGAATTTCAATTCTTCAGACTTGATTTAAGTTCAAAGCCAGCAAATTATTCAACCCAAGCGATTTGAAGATATCTTTGATAGCATTTAATGCACGTCTAGTTTGTCGATTGCTACCTCTCTCTAAGAAACTATGGGTCCACAGATCCATACACCTGGCCTTGCTAAGTTTCAGATTACTCCCTGGTAATAACAAATTCCATCATCAAAACATCCGTTCCCATGTATGCTGTCTCCTTGGGATCATTACCGAGTTGCTCCCAAGTTAACAGTCTCGATTCCATTTTCCATTGTGTTCCCGTTCTCTTCCCAACTTCATCCCACACCTCCTTCCAAGTCTCTGGGGACTGTAGAAGGCACCTGTATTTAGAGCCAGGGGGGCCAAGTAACTCCCGTTGCTTGGGCACGCCGGCTTGGTAACCTAGTATCAAACTCCCTGGACGATCTCGAGACAGTTTGACTAACTGCGTAGCCCCCTCGATTTGGTTCTCTAAATTCCACTGATGGAAGATCTGGTTCACTAAAATGACATCCATCATTCCGTGCAATGCCTTCAACTTTTCACGTGGTTGCAACATATCATCTTCAAAAAAGTCGACTTTAAAGGTTTCCTTGTCACGAAAAAACTCATAGCCCAAGTCCCAATGATTGACAATGTCCACGGCATGGAGCTGGTCTGTAGGCGCACCATTCAGGTCCCACACCAATTGACGTAATTCTTGGCCGAGGAAGCATCCAATGTCTATGAATGAGTCTCCGCTTTTGAGTCGGACAACAATATCTTTATACGCTGGCGACTGAGCGAAAAGATTATCAAGGAAGCGACCCAAACCTGTGCACGGGTATGGACGAATTGCCCATGCCTTTTCACGCTATACAAGGGTCAGTTTTGGCCAACACAAAACGCACCAGCGATGTTCATCGTCAACATGTGAAGGAGACGGCTCACAATGTCATATATGTGTTGACGCACATCCTCCGGCGAGATCTTGCTATAATTCTCGAGAAGTCTACGACACTGTCGAGTCCTATTAGCTTAAGAGTCGTTTATTCTTGATATGAGGTCAGCTTACCTCGGGAGTGATTTTGTGATCGATGCTATCGAGCCACCACTTGTGCTCTTTGCTTGGAACAACCCTGTTGATGGGATCGGAAATTTTCTCCTTGCCGTCGGCTACAGAGGCTTTAGGCATTGCGGTAGCCATTGTTCTTGGATCAATAATAGTCAAAAGCCTTGGTATTACAACAGAATAAAGGTTCTCAATACAAATTACCATCCCTGGGGATTCAGGGAGGGAAGCCATTCCCGTTATATAGTCCACATGGCCTCATTCGTCACATGCTTGGCAAGGCTATATGCAGGATATCCCCGATCTGTCTGATTTTGAAAGATGTCCAACAGTTGGTGGCAATTGGAGTCTAGTGCGATTTGAAATTTGTGGAACCAAGCCGTGATACGCCGGAGATTCGATAGTGGTGTGGGAATGGGCGCGTGTTTTCAGATGATATGTCTACCATCGTTTTAAATACATATTTTAATGATAATATAATCGAAACCCCCCGTTACTCTATCGAGGGCCCCGAGATGGAGAAAATCGAGTGTATCTCATCGATACGTACCACGCCTTGCATTCATTATCTCGTGATTTCTATACCCGCTGGAGAAGCCCGAGGTATAGTCGCCCGTTTGAGTTGAATAGCTAATGGCCCGTCTTCATTGCAGAGCGTTAGAGACCGGTACTCCCTGGGATGGGAATATTGCTCACGATTATCATTGTTACGATTCGCTTCGTCAATATATTATGTGTAATCCGGAATGCACGCTTTGGTACCCAAGTGGCCATCGAATCAATGGCTATTTGCAAACGAAGACTTTTCAGGACTGGGATGCTTTGAGAGATTGGACAGAGGAGCATACTAGTAATTATTATGATCAATATGATATGGAACCAGACACCATTGGGGACAATCTGTGGTACAACTATCATGCTGGAGACGGTTTGCCAGTTGGCAGTCTGTAGAGTCCGCATGGGGGTTTTGAAGGACATTACCACTGTTGGACATGTGATGTGCATCGTCTGTATCTCTTGGGGTGGAGGCTTAGAAAGTTTGAATTCAATTATTCTTGTGATGCTTCGTTACGCAAATGAAGAGTTCGCCATGTCTCTCATCCATACCACAGCTCGAGACTAGCTCGATAGTTCCACCTTCCCTTCCATCGGGATTCTTCTTATCCCATACAGTCAGCTCTATACCGTTGAATCCGATTGGGATATTGTCAGAATTCTTGCCCTGCAGATTTCTCCTCCTAGAAATTGACAGCAAATGACACTGACATCATTTCACCTATTTACAATAATGGTTGTTGTTGTTGCGTCCATCATTTCCGAGCCTCGAATACACCCAGGAAACCCATAATTGCTAAGGGAAGGTCTTCCATCGCCGGTTGCTGTCCAATCTATCACAGCAACCTTTTCCAGCTCCCACGCAGCATCTTTCGTATCGTTCATAACCTCTTGGACCATGCGATCGTACTCCTCGTCCCCGGCATTTTATCGTGCCACTGCTATTTCTTCCAAAGATTCTCTCAGAATAGCCATTCATTCAAATCTCTCCCTCCCCACCCCCCCATAAGGAATCATCCCCTGCCCCCCATCCACCCTCCTCCACACCATCTCCACTCTCCTCTCACTCTCTCCCTCCCCTTCGACCCTAACCCATCTCCCATTCCCCTTCATCTTCTCCTTCTTTCCCCGCGTCGACAACTTCATTTTCATAAACTGCACTTCGGTGTTGAGTTTCGCGCAGAGAGATCGTGTGCGTGAGAGGGTACTTGAGGAGTTGGGACGGGGAGGAGAACAGGTATGAGATGAGAGGGTGTGTGATGAAGCGTATGAGTTTGATGTGGAGAGGGGTCTGTTCCGGCTGAAATTGAAGCTACGGTGGGTGGAGCTGGTGGTGGAAGAATAAGTCGAGGAGGTCTGTGTAGAGGTTGCGGTTGAGGGACGGAGGAGAGGTGTATCCATTTCCATGTTTATTGTGGATTACTTTGAAGCTGTTTGATTTGTGATGTGAAGTTGGGAAAAAGGAAGACAGAAAAAAATCGTAGAACTTGTACTTCAAAAAAGAGGAAATATAGAAATGTTGATGCACCAGGCAATCAATGTAGAATTGAAGATGTTCGGATTGTTGCACTCTGAGAGGAAAACTAGGTACTGAAATGGATATCACTGAAATACACATCATCTCCACAGAAACCTCCTCTTTCTTATATACACTTCCGTTACCTCTCCCGCGTCTACAAGTTACCAAAAATAAACATATATGATAGAAGTCCTACCTGACACTCAATGAATTCTCCGGTCCAGAGTCAACAAACCCATTCGATAAGCTCCAACAGATTCGACTTCAAACCTGCAGTTGTGAATTGCAGATGCTTTTGCATCGCACAGGACAATTGTCTATCGATATATCAAGATGATTGGCATTGAAAGATTTGAAGTCAGACGTTGGGGCGGTCGTGGAACCAGTTTGCTGGGAAAACATTTTGAAATGGGAATGCTATAGGCTGTGGATTGTTCCAGGGGGCTTTTGGGCGCTTGATGGGGTTTGACATCTTTCAGGGGTGGCCCGGGGGTTTGACTTTGAGTGGCTTATTCAATGAGATGGTTTGGTGCGAGATGATAATAATAATATTAATTATAATAGTTAATAATATTAATAAGTTTAAAAGCAATCAATGAACTCTTCTTACTTTTCAATTCTTCCAAGATTTATTAACTGATCAGCCAATAATGTATGAGTCATGAGCTTTCAATTCACAAAAAGTATCCATTCCAAGTGTCCCAAGTGTCCAGCACTGGTTTGAAACAAAACAAAATGATAGATATCCACACGAAGTAACGTGACCTGCACGACACCAAAGTATGCACTCCCTCCTTGTTGATGGAAAGGCATGCTCGAGGCATGGTACGAGATGCGGCCCTTTGCCTCTCCTCGCTCCTCCTCACTCCTCCATGTTTGTTCGCTGCGTTACTCGTCTCCAAACTATTCTTGGTCCGGGATTTTTGGTAGGGCTGGAAGATTACGGAGTAGACCAGACACATTGATATTGGACAAGCTGCAATGCAAAAGCCAATTAGGTAAGAGCTGGTGAAGAAAGAGGTTCTTATGGAATGCCTCGCGGGTGAACTTTCTAGGTGCTCATTTATATTCAATTAATGCGCGACGGCATCGGTAGTTAATTTCACTCAAGAGTGGAGATCTTTCCGACCCTTTTCCTCACGGGATCGCACATTTTCATGGTCCGGAGACGAAATTATATATTCAAGGGGATTGATTGAGTAAGATTACCCCGATTAGCAGATTAGACAGCGTGGCAAGTTCAACAACATGTTCACGAACGGGCATGGGCATAGACATAGACATACTATGTAGACATGATTCCCAGGTAGGTGTTTCCATTGCCATTGCCATTGCCATTGCCATTGCCATTTTTACATTGATGCTTCGTTCTTCTTATTCCTCTTCATGTACTGCGATCGTACGTACATCGGTCGTACTTCTTCATGGAACAACACAGACACAGACATTACAGCAAGTAAGACATTCAAGTCAACTTTCTTCGACCCCAGAACTTCACACAATCTAATTTTGATCTTCTCTTCCTTCCTTCACTACTACTTCTGATTATCATTCCTCTTCACTTCATTCGTTACATTACCTTCGTTACATTACATTACATTGTAAGATCTCACACCAGAACAATCGAATCCCGATTCCTCCAAACTCTCACTTGAACACTACCTACCAACCTCTGGCTAGGCTTATTAAGAACGCTTTGGGCAGCCTTGCAGTATATTTTTAAAAGTTCACTTCACTTGTTTCAAAACGCGGAACCCTGCAATTTCTCCTTAACACCGAGGAAATTATTTGATACTCAGAAGGTCTTGCTATTGTACCGGCCAGTATTAGGTTATTCGTACCGTGTTGCTTTGAGATCTTTGACTTGCAAAATCCTCTTCTTGAAGGGAATAACCAAAAGGATTCTGAGGATTTCAAGGCTGTACCGAGTGAATAATCTTCGACTGTTAATAATATCACATTGGGTTCAAGATTTATAAGGACACCTGCAATACACGTTCCTGAAACTTACATTACAGAACAAGCAAATATGGAGACAGCTGAAGAATACACTGGACGACCCTCCTTCACCAGAAGGTCTCCATCTCCAGCTGGAAGACCTTCCCCAGCTATAGGAGCAACGGGAAATTCGGCTCGATGCGTTTCGACAGCCTCCGAAGGCTCAGTCTTCTCTGGCAGATCAAGTGCAATGAGTCGTGCGTCTGAGCAAAGTTCGGTTGGAAGCTCGGTTTCTCGATCTTCGTCTGCGAGTTATGGAAATAGAACATCTATGGCAGGTCAGGAAAAGCCGAAACGACGTGGTTATGTTCGACCACAAGGAACCAATTTTGCAAAGTCGGCACAATCGAGAGAGAGTGTTTTGAGCTTGGGAAGCATCGCACATTTACAGTATTACTTCGCTCGAACCGGTCTGCTGGACGGGAAAGGTGGGCGATTAATGAAGAAGAGGAAGGATGGCAGAGAGACTCTAGATTTATCGGTCTTGGACACGTCATTCCTCGTACCTGGCTCGGGGTCTGATGCGGACTCATCATATGCTTCCACGGCTAGCAGCCCAGAGCTCTCTGCTGCACAATTTGGCGGTATGATGACGGATAGTCCTATTCACGACTATAATGAGGATGTGGATGAATATTTTAGCGGCGAAGAAGACGACAATCCCTTACATATGCTCCCTCCGACTGCAAGTACCTATATTCATCGCGAGAAAGTCGTTGCACCTCCCCCAACTCTGAATCAGCTCAGGCAGGGGTTGGTAGACGCTCTCAATAATGCTACTGCAGCTTTAGAAGACGCAAAGCATGCAAGAACTCCCCCGGCCTCTCCCTTACCAACATCCAAAGTCGAAAATGCAAATCCCGCAACTCCTGATGCTAAGCAGAAAGGGTGGTTTGAGGTACAGGGTATGAATATGCTGGATATTATGACTCTTGCTATTCGTGCCGCGAAAATGTACTATACCGCCCATGAACATCCTGAACGCCTCTTAGCAATCAAATCGGAGAAAGAAATTCGTGGAGAGCTATTATCTGTCCTCGAGGTTTTAAAACGCATGGCTACTCGAGGATTCGCCAATGGAATACGCACTGAAGAGAGGGAAACGATGGATAACTGGGTTGACGGCGTACGCAACATGCTTAGACGGGAGAAAATCCTTGAGGAAGAAGAGCGCAAATTAATAGCGAGTTGGACGTGGCTTCATGCCGATGGTTGGGCAGGAAAGGAGATCGAAAGAGAGTATGCATTCTTGAAATCTATGGATCCGGAACCCGATACCCTGCCACCACTATCATTAGTGGACGGCGTAAAAGATGACAGTCTACTTCCTACACCATTTCTGGCGGAAATGAAAACAGGCCTAAGATTAGTGAAGCTTCATAATGCAGCAGTCAAGAAAAGCAAAAGACCATTTGGAGCAATATCTACGTTCCATACTGAATTTAACAAGCCATATCGATCGGCCGAGAACCTTCGATTCTGGGTCAAGGCCGCTGAGTTGAGATGGGAAGCAGATGTCAAATTTGACGTTATGGGAGTTGTAAATAGCGAGGACCGTGATGCATGGGAAGGATTCGAAGAAGTAATTTGGAAATGGTGTCGAACGGTTAGGGAAGAATTATCGGAAGAACTCAAAAGACCAAGAAAAATGTCTATTAAGGTCTAATTGTAATGGACTAATCAACCGATTTTTGTTATGAGCTTTTTATCTTCATGTGTTTTCACGCTAAGGCTAGGGAGGGAAAGAGATAGTTCTCTCTTACATACCAATATTTTATTGCACATAATTAGGGTGGACTTTGTGGAGAGAGGTTATCGGACATATAGGTTTTATGGTCATATATTTTGTAGTGTTTTTTTCATATTTCTTTCATCCGCGCTCCTTGCGCACTTTGTTTTTTTGTTGCAGTCTTCTTTTCACTTCATTCGCACTGCACTGGCTTTGAAGGAGTACTATACCCATACATACCCACACTCCCACTACTTTCTAGCTATACATACATACATACATACCTTGAGTACCGTTTACAGAGCTGTCCTCGTCGTGTGACGATGAGATGAGATGGGCCAATAGAAATATCAAGTTTTCGTTAGCTACCTACCTAATCAACACATTTAATGTACTATTGGTGATGAAATCTCATCCTCGTCACATCTTTACCCAGAGCGGAAAATTTACTCGAGCCCAGACCGTGGTATTTTATAGTTTGTGGTAATGTGATATCGATGATGCGATCTTTTTCTGTGATTCTTCTAGAATCTATACTTAGATATCTAGACCCAAAAACTTATTAATAAATGGTGACGATGGCGCAATAATGCAAGTTTGACAGGCTTAGTGCGGGATTCTGGTTCTGGGGTTAGATGTGGGGGGGGAGGAAGATAACTACGACTTCTCTGGTTATTGTGTCAAAATGGGGGGTTTTATCGAGCTAGGGGAAAGTTAATGGGTGAGTAGAGTTCGAAGCGAATTTGGAATTGGTGTGGTGTGGTGTGAATAAGTATTCTTTTGGTGTACGTTCTAATTTTGAGACGTTTTTAGTGTCTCGCACGATGGGTCTTTTTGAGGGGGGTGGGAGGTATATATATTGGTTGGGTTGGATATTCTTCTTCTTCGTCTGTCTTTCGTTTTTCGGTCTTTACAAAAAAATACTTCAATCTTTGATTTCTATATCAGTTGAGATCGTTTTATTTTGCGGAGATATTCTTATATGATACAATATAATCAGATACGACGATAACTGTAATCTATACTCTTCAAGGCAAGCAAAACAACGGATTACTATGCAATATACTTCTGACATTCCGAGCAGAAGAACAAACGATAGCACAGACATCTGAATCTGAACGGAAAAGCATTTAAACGACGACCATCACAATCCAAGTTGTCCAATATTCAAAACAGCCAAATACAATCCAATACTACTTACTCCCTTGCGCCGATTTCAGAGATCCAGCAACCATGGAGTTCATCCAGCGTGTCGAGGAGAAACTGTTCAGATGGTGGAAACAAAATTGACAAACACCGTCCTGGCTCTCTCCAAGATCCCCACCTAATCAGAACCAAATCGCAAGCATCGATTACGCTTTCGGCTTACAGAGAACGCCGCCGATTGGCGAGGGTGGTTGAGATGGAGGCCCGCATCAAGGAGACTTACGATTCAGTTATAGATATCTTTGATAGGTGGATTGATTTGAACGAATGTCAAGGGATTGCTAAAGAGGCAAAGGAAGGAGAGGACCTTATGGACGTCGAGTCTTCGACCGAAGAGGAAAAAGAAAGTGATGAGAAGCAGGATAGTTGCGTCGAACATATCGAGCATGCTTACGATCTCCAGTAGTATTTAATATCAGAGCCGAGTTAGAGAGAATTCACAATCGGCATTTGAATGATGGGAAGTGTTAGCGAGCTTGAAAGATAGCAAATGGAAAGGCCATGGAAGTGTAGATGAACATTATCCAAATCGAGTAATTTGAGACATCCAGAAGAGACCACACAATTTGAATCTTATCTTGACAAACACAAAACCATAAATGAAAACAATGCGTGCTTTTTCATGATTCAGTCTTGACACCTGGACCTGCCGAGGTACAAGACATGACAATGTTGCCATCCGATATCGCCAACCAGAATCTTTCCTTCACCATGATTCACGACATTTTTTTTAACGTCTTGAATCATGATATCTGTCAGAATAAGCAATAATTTAACCTTTATTCCACTTGAAGTTAAAATGAGAATCTTGCTGATCACTTGATATCACATGATTACTACTAAACAAACTTAAAGGGTGATGAGAGGGTGAAAGTCCCCCATTGGTAAAGTGAAACGCGCTAGATCCGAGTCCGCTTCACGACGGCGTGCATTTAGGGTTTGGATTTTTTGACGTGTCATTTGCGATATACCATTTGAGTATTTAAAGATTCTTTCTCTTCAAGAATTTTTGATCCTTTCGTTGAATATACATACTTCTGCTTTGATTGCTTGCTGAACGAACATTTCACAAGATATAATACTACACAATAATACATCTCAAAATCAAATATAACCTCGATCTTCGCCATTTAAAAAACCAAACAACTCAAAGATACCGACGACAGCCATGGGCGCCAAAGAAATATTCTTCAAGCTTCGAAAGTTTCAAAACGGAATCAAACCTTCTTGCGCTCAGAATCCGCAACTCCAGAGGGTCTCCACGAATGAGTCGTTGACATTTTCTTTTTATGAAAGGAGGAAGGCGACTGAGAATAAATTAGCAAAGGAAAGAGGGGCGAGAAACTTTTTATTAGAAGAACAACAAAGGAAGAGGAGGAAAGACGAGAAGAACCGAATAAAAAATAAGGCAAAAGAAGCAGAACAGAGGGTGGCCGAGGGACACGCCATGCGTCAATTAAGTTTGCAACAGATGAAGACCCAGCTAAAGAAATCGACAAAGGAAAAGGCAACGAATGGTGTTTTTACTCCTAGGAATCCCGATGAGGAGGATGTTGATGAAGAGTGGGACTGGAAGGGCGATGCGGTGAGCTTGAGAGAGTGGGCTTAAAGAGACAGGCAGGAAGACGAATTCACCACGAGTGCTTGATGTTGGAAGAATTAATGAGAGCAAATTCGAATAGCAGCATACTGGAGTTTGGGGCTTAATGATATAACAACGTTTGTTATCAACATTTGATGGTAGTATGATGCCATTAAAATGAAAATTCACTTGAAATGCAAAACTTCGTGACAGGATGGACATTGTGGACAACACCAACTATAGGGGTTCTTACTAGAATATGACATATCATGAAAAGCACTGGCATGCTACCTAGTGGCTGTAAGATAAAGACCAAAGGAGGTTCGAGAAAGCCTCAGAAAGAGGTCAATAGACCTGCGATGATGGAAGGCATTAAACATCTTGCACAACTACTGGCTAGACCTGGCCGCCTGAATTCCTTTTAAGAAGGCAAGTGCTCATCTTGAGTTTAAGCCACTTGCTTTAGATCAATGAACTCTTTCCAAATTCCCACTATGTACTTTCTTTCTTCATCTTAGCTGTGGAAGTTTTTGACATACAGCAAGAGAAGGAATATCCGAGCATTCAATGAACATACGGGTTTACACCCGCTCTGTCATAGTTTCAGTCCTTTGAAAGAAATTACTTGTCACTTTCGTATAAAATGATGAGAGGGGAGCAGGACTCAAGGTGGGATAATCGCACCTGCCTCATCGACATGAGGTGGGCTCGTGGGCAATGTCACTGAAAGTTGTAGTGATAAAACTGGATCATTTTATCACTAAAAACACACCTCATGTACAGAATGTGAGGTTGTCATTGGTTCTAATCTCACACCCCACCATGTTCTAACAATAACTCTCGTCTCCAAAAATGAGAAATGACAAAAATGAAAATCCCTGCCCAACACGTCTCGCGTCGCGTCTCCCCATATTTTTCTTTTTCCACTCACCGAAACTTTGTTTCCGCAGCCTTCCAAAACCATCGCCAAATCCGAACTTTAATCTTCAATCACACTCGCTCACTCAAATTTCAACTATACCCTCTTTAACAAATTTCTCTCCCGTCTTCCCCTTCCCAATGTCCACACTTCCACCCAATTCTCCAATCTCACCACTTCCCAAACGTCAAAAGACTTCGTCCTCGAGCTCTCCTTCAAAATCCACTCCCGCTGCCGCTGCCACCTCTTCCCTCCAAGAAATCATGTCTTCCACTCCAAGTACTGCGCCCACAACAACTCCAGCACCGGCAACAAACGGTTCAGCCCCAGCCCCCACACCCCTAAAATCATCTACCCCTCCCCCTCTTCTCATTAAGAAACTTTCACCCCGCGCTCGTCTCCCTACACGAGGCAGCGCTTTCGCTGCCGGTTACGATATCTACGCTGCAAAAGAAACAGTTGTGCCTGCTAAGGGAAAGGTTTTGGTGGATACTGATATTAGTATGGCTGTGCCAGAAGGAACTTGTATGATTTTTTACCCCTCTTCCCCCCTCTCTATTTGTTACAGCCTTTCTTCGTTGTATCACTTTATCTTCACTCAATTAATTACCTCGTTTAACTAATATTCTGTTCAGATGGCCGCATAGCCCCACGCTCTGGACTTGCCTCCAAACACATGATCGATACTGGCGCTGGCGTAATCGATGCTGATTATCGAGGTCAAGTAAAGGTACTCCTTTTTAACCATGGCGAAAAGGATTTTGAAGTAAAGGAGGGCGATCGTGTAGCACAATTGATTTTGGAGAGGATTTATACACCAGAGGTTACAGAGGTTTTGGTTTTGGAGGAGAGTGTGAGGGGTGAAGGTGGCTTTGGAAGCACAGGCTAGATTGTGAGGAAGGGAAGAAGAAATGAAGTTTCGAGGGTAGTTTGGATGAGTAGAGAGAGTTAGATATACCGTGCTGTGCACACTTTAAGAAAGGGAGAATGTGGCTCGGGAAGGAATAGACAAAACAAAGAAATCTATCGCTGTCTATTATGATGCATCTATGTATTCAGGATATCTAAACTGTAGCTTCCCCAGGGTCTAAACGCTTTCTGCTCTAAATTTCACCACTGGATTCTTCAGAAAGTGCACATTTCTGACCAGTCTCACCTCAGCCGCCTTCGACCTGACCAATCCCTCTCTCTTAGAATCCTCATCCTTTGCCCTCCCACCGACAACATTCTTCCACTTCTCAATCTCCTCATCTCTCGCGATCTTTGTCTTCCCAAGCACTTCATGCATACTAGCCAAAACTTTTTCCGTGGCTCTCGCAAGCGGTAATTCCGTAGCCTCAACCTCATCATCACTAATCCACGCATCTTTCTCCAAAAGTCCTTCCACATTACACACTGCCTCTTTAAGTCTCACCAACATGAGCGCTGCAAACATATCTCCGGTTCCGCTGAAGAAACAATCAATCGCCGGTATTTTGATGCTAAAGATCCTTGGTTCGGCTGTCGATGTCATAGTCGAGCCTACGACTGAAAGATGGGGTTCCGCGCCTGGAGATGGAAGTGAAATGGATGTGACCATTATATGAGGGATTTTATATACTTCGTGTAATGTCGTTATGGCCAATTTAAGTGTATCCATATCCTGGATTTTGACACCGGATAGTGTTCTACGATAGTCAGCTAACATGTACTTCATTCATCTCTTCCAGAAATCGCCCTCCTAGGAGAAGAAAAGATGGGTGACCTACTCAACCTCAAACTGATTTGGTAAAATCAAATCCGCATCTTTGATCAATGCTTTATAAGCTGGCACCACATCCTCCGCTACATATAATTTCCCGTTGTCCCCCATAACCGGATCCAACACCCAGAAGAAGCTTCCGGGCTTCATTGTAGTTTTTAATTTCAGATCGCGTGCTATTGTGCCAACAGCCTCTACAGATGCAGCTCCAGGCAGATAGCCCGAAAGCATCATATTGAAATCGTCAAGGTATGAGTTCTTGAGTCCTTGATAGAGGTCCGATATCTCGGTCGCGGTAGCGCGTGTGCCTTTAGCTTGACCATAACCTAGATGGTTGCCTTTTCAAACCTTTGTTAGCCTTATGTTCATCTGTTCTCTGGGTCGATTTGCAATGGGGCGTGTATTCAGGCTAACATACTGAACTGTACTGTATTCAGAGCAGCGACTTCGCATCCTAGAGATTGCATGACGAACGTGGCCATAGTATTTCCGACATATCTTTAGTAAAATTATATGATTTAGTCGACTTGCATACACAATGTAGAGAGAATTTGTGACTCATGGGACTCACCCGTAAACAACCTTGAGCAGACAACGTTAGTTCAGCAAAAGTCGTGTAAGGGTGGCCTTCCTACATGACTGGCAACAGCAAGAACTCGTGTATCTGGTACGGGGAAATCTTCAGACATCTTGCTTATTTGGCGGAGATGTTGCTTCGTGAAGAAGAGAGGAGTGTATTTGAGATATCAGATCGAAATGCGCCGGAATTACTAGAAAAGATTGGCGAGGGATGGAGAGTTTCAATTGCAATGTCCAAGTATCTCAAAGACAACAGAAGAACGTTAGATACAAAGTTTGTAAGCTAAAAGTTCATTGCTGAAGAAAGTTTTGTTTCTCGATGAAAGGGAAGACATTAATCTTATCTTACTCTAGATTTCATGCTGACGATATGGATAGTGGGGCATCAGGTTTGCCCCGCGCTATCCTCAATCCAGGAACATGCATGAAGACAAGCAAATTTATTGTGTGCAAAAAGGTGACAAAAATATTCCAAGAAAAAATGTTCTCCGAATGTCTCTTATTATTGTTTTTTAAACAGATTCTATTGAGAAAAATCAACGAATTGCTTCATCGCATGCCATGTACTGAGCAACAAAACCATTCATGGCACAATTTACCACGACCATTGTCCATATCCATAAACCAACCCACGCGCCATATTGAATATGCTGTAAACTTTGATATCATTGTTCATTAATCCTTTTCGACAACCATACCTACTCGTCATCACCAATCTAGAAAAAATGTTAGCTTCTCCGGATCTGAATACTAAATGATACATGTAAACATACCTTTGGTGCCAAGTAGAATCGTAAGTAACTGCTTCCGGCAAGCTGGTATTCCACCAAAAGAGGAACTTCGTTAGACAAGCAAAGTTTGACAGACTTGGACAAACCAGCAGCCTTGCAGAAGTTGACTAAGTATTTAAGGGAGAAGGTCAAGGAGACCGGTTCGGTAAGCTCAATATCGACGTTAAGATCTGGTTTGTCGACGTTGCTATGGCTGCGAAGGGTGACAGCACCATTGCCAATGTCTCCAGCACAGGAGAACTTAACACCATCTTTTGAAGCCTCAATCGATACTATTTGGCAAAGGATTAGTATCGCCTCTCATTTTTGAGGGGAGAGGGAAACGGGGACACTGAGACATACCAGACTCGGACAAAGCCATAAGATCGACACAGATTCTCTTGAACTCCGAACTTGGCATGTTGATGACTGCCGCATATTCTGTATCAGGGATACCCAAATGTTCTTGATCGATATCCATCAACTTTAAATCGTATTCGCTCAATCGATCGCTCTCACTGCTCTCGAATACTAAGTTCAAAACATCTGGTGCATCCTCGGCCTTGATGGTGAGGATATCCTCGTTTTGTGCAGCTCGTAGAACCTTTGTGAGAGAAGTGAGATTGACACCAAGAGCGACATTGCGGTCACATCGGTAAGGAGAAAACCCTTCAGCCTTCAGCATCATCGATACGAGCGCAACGTGCGAGTTATCCATAGCTTGGAGCGCGATTCCTGAATCATTGCAGTCGAAGTTGCAGTCTTGAACGAGATCTTTGATGGCATCGACAACCTAAATTATACATCAGCATAAGAGAGGAGGTTAGAGATTCTTTTCTCTGACCTTCTTGAGGAGGTCTGCTTGTTCGAGGCGGGCTTCTAACACTAGTACGTAGTCAGTATTACAATGTCAGATGGTGGAATGTACCAGAATAATAACATACTCTTGACGGTACTGAAGTCTGTAAAAGCAAAGAGATGAGTATTAAAAGCTTATAGTGAAGTTGTTTAGAGAGCGTTGTTTGTGGAAGGAATATTCTGGATTGCAAAGTTGATTGTTTGACTTTTTGAGATGGAAGGGCTGCGACGCGGTCTCGAGAAAACGCGTAGAGTGGTTTTTGACTGGTGCACAGACCTTAAATATAGGCCAATCACAGCGAATTGAGCCTCGCAAATGGATTTCTACCCTCGCCTACGTAGTATTGAGTTCAGTTCAGATTTATTCAGAACACATAGTATTTTTTTTTACAGCAAATTGATCGTTCATTATTCGAATTCTAAAGCTACCTAGGTATCATTAAGCCACAACTTAGGCCCCCCTTAGCACCCTCCCCATTGTTTGATTGGCATTCGAATATTCAGTTAATCGAAGAGGTCATTCATGTCTTCTAGTTTACATCCCTTTGTTTCTGGCACGTAAAGCCATGTCCATACACCAGATAATGCACAAAAGCCACCAAAGAAAACGTATGCTCCCCAATTAGTATATACTACTAGCGGTGGTGTTATCAGGCCGATGATGAAATTGTTTCTAATTGATTCAGTGATTAAAAATCTTCTGAAGGGGTAACTTCGCTAGTTAGACTTACAGCCAATTAGAGCAGGTGCTCAGAGCGACGCCTTTTGCACGAAGATCGCTTCTGAAGATCTCTGATGGCATTGCCCAAGGAACAGGGCCCCAGGATGCTCCAAAAACCACCATATAGAAGAGGAGAAATGCTACACTGACCCAGGCAGCTGCTTGGTGGGTATGCCAGTCATAAGAAAATAGGCAGACCATGACAGCTATCATAACATGGCTGATCGTCATAAGAAACGAGCCTATGATCAATAAGGGCCTTCTTCCATATCGATCCATTGTAAACAGACTAGAGCCCACACCAACAAGCCTATGCTCGGTTAGCATACTAGCTTCAAGGGGTATTCCATTCTTCCAAAACAATACGAACATTAGCAAGTAAGGAAAGTAGACAAGGGCTTACTGGCAAATATTTAGAACGCCCGACATGATAAGTTGCATCTCTGACCCCAAGCCCATTCTAGCAAACAGCGTGGGGGAATAGTAAATAAGGGCATTGATACCGACGAATTGTTGGAAGAACATGATAAGTATGCCGATATGCGTGCGTTTGATAGAACCCGACGCAAAGCAATCTTTCCACAAAGCTATTTCGAACTTCATTGGTGAGTTTATAAGATTCTCATGTTTTTGTAGGTGAATTTCTCGAATGTGCGAGACTTCGTTACGTATATGGCGCGCTTCTTCCTGAATTCTTGAATCGCTATCTGGCAATTGTCTCAGCTTCGATAGGACTTTCAGAGCCTCGTTATCACGTCCTTTGGAAGATAGCCATCTTGGCGAAAATGGAAGAAAGTACACCCCCGCTCCCAAGAATAAGGCAGGAACGATTTGTATAAAGAAAGGAAGGCGCCAGCCCCACTCGCCACCTATATATCTTGTGCCGAAGCTTATCCAGAAAGCGACGACGATACCTACAACGATGGAAAGCTCCTCTGCGTGACTAGTTAGCACTTTGATTGTATGAATTGTACTGGGACAATTGAACCACTTGCCCATGACCAGTAACGTGCCACGAATTTCTGGTGGCGCTATCTCCGAGATATATATGGGCGTAACCATTGAGAGCATACCAATACCAATACCTCCCACGAGTCTAGCAATAACAAGCATATTGAAGTTAACAGCCGTAGTTTGTAAAATGCTTCCCAAGAGGAATATGACCACAGCGATTAATATAGAGTATCTCCTCGAATATTTATCGGCAATCCATCCCTGGTTTAAAGCCCCGAAAAAAGCCCCAAGTTCGATCATAGCAGTCAAAATGCCCTTCCAAAAACCGCTAGAGTGGGGACCTATACGAGGGAAATCCAGAACGAAGCTTTCCATGACAAGAACGACAGAGACC